TAAAACCTTTAGGCAGACTACTTAAATTAGACAATGACTAAAGTTGTACAAGTGGCTAGTTGTACACTCTTTTCATGGTTGCCCCTGTGGTTGTAATGCAACCATTAGCTGAATGTACTATCAATAAAATCCTGGATCATCTTAATATTCAAAAAAAAAAAATTTAATTAATTATATCTATTTTGATATAGGTCTTGATGGGTGGACAAATCTGATTGGCCAAAGTATTCATACATACTTATTAATAACATCCAATAAAAAAGAATATTTGTATAGTGTGATGACAGACATTGTGATATCAAATATCATGATCGATCATGTGAAACATACACAAAATGCAATAAGTTACATTTGTAATCAAGAATGATATTTCAGATCCAGAAGGGTAGTATGGAAGGATGTAAGAAGAAATTACACATCCTTAAAGAAATAAAACATAGTTGGAGAAATTAAATATATTATTGTAAATAACATTTAGTAGCCTTAAAGTAATAATAAGTGCAACATCACATTTGTAAATGATGAATTTTATATTATAAATAAAGGCTGAAATGACCCTCTGAAGCAGTATGCTTCATTTACTTGATAAATAAACAAGTTCCAATACATTGTATCATTTATAAGGAAAACCCTAACACTATACTCAGCATAAATCCTGTAAACCCCAATAACCATCATTGTTCATTCAAGCCCTTGTACATGTGACTTACTCTACTTATATTTGTTAACCCAAAGTGACTGAAAGCCTTAACTGCCCACAAGCCAAATCTAACACCCTCTTTCGAAAAGGTTACTTGTTATATGTTACATGAGGTTTAGAATTTTGGAGCGACAGAGTCATGAACTTTGGAACCCAACAATAGTCTTTAAAATTATTCAAGACAATCACATATAGGAAAATTTCTTGCAAATGAAATTCAAGATATTATTGAAACAATTGATATAGAAAAGTTCAGAGGAATTGTAACTGATGGTGCTACCAATATGAAGCTAGCTAAAAATCTTGTTGTTAAATTTTATTCATATATTCTTCCTATTTGATGTATTGCACATCACATAAATCTTATTATGAAAGATATTCTTAAACAACAATAGGCTTCTAATATAATAAAAAAGTGTTAATCAATTGTAAAATAGACAAAATTATCACATCAAGTTGGATAACTTCTTCATGACATATAACAAAAATATTTAATTTCTGGTAGCAGAATTCAGTCTTTAGTAAAAACTCATTGGTAAACTGCTTGGGATTGTTTTATTTCAATTTTAAGACTACAACCATGTTTAATAATAGTATAATATTTAATTAAATATTTTAATTTTTTTTATATTATTATTACAAAATATTATTGGCATATATTTTAAACTTAGGGGTGTGGTGACCTAGTGAAGTGGTCAGGTTGTTAACTCCCCAAGTGGTAGGTTGGGTGTTCAAATCCCATCGATGGCAAAAATTTGGATAATCATCTATATAATCTGATATTCGGCAACTATTTCTAATGATTGGGTTAAAATACCTGTAATTATAGTCACACCAGCATGACTGGCAGGTTATGGGGCATCTGTGTAACTTGTTACACAAAGAAATGCAAACCAACAAATCGGGCAATGCAAACTCAAGATAAGTCCTTGTGGCCATGTAAATCTGTAGAAATTAGACAACAAGAAGCCTATTTGGGAAGACCCGAGTAGAGAGGTAACATGGATCTTCAATGGTACCACTGTAAAAGCTAGATCTAAGAAACGGATACCAATGCCGAAGTAGCCGGACGGGCAAGAACCTCTGAGTTGGGAGTCTCGGAGGTACCACCAACCAGGCAGCCAGATCGGACCAGAGAAAAAGGATATCAGGCTGACCCAATATACCGATGGACTGGTCGTAGTCCTACATGGGCTATCTGAATTGGGAGTTTGGTAAAA